TTGGGGGCAATATGCTGACTCTGTAAACCGCTTAGAGAGGTCTGAAAGCCCTATGAAGCGGTATATAAGTCTAACTGCTATTGCTATTGCTATTGAGTCTCTGCCTTGCCTGGATTCACTAAAGAGGAGGAATCTCTCTCTTCACCCTTCAACCTCTGCAGCTTAATGAACTTCTCAGAGGATGTCAGACTATTTATTTATTTATTTGTTATTTATCCATCATTTATTTATTTATGTTTATTTATTATTTATTTATTTATCAATCACTAAACGTCTTCTGTGTCACACATCTCACCAAGGTGACTGTAGGCAGTTTACAGTAAAATTCAATTAAATACCATGTAGAATATTTAAAACGATACATAAAAACCAGACTCCCCCATCAGATCAGTTTGCCTTTGGTCTGGCCAGAAGATCACGTCTGGAGTTTATTGACCACTGCCTTGAGGTGGGTCCAGGATGGTCCCATGGAGGCCAAGAACCCCATGGCTGCTTCCGAGGCCAAACCCATGGATGGCAGATTGAAGTCTCCCAAGACCATAATCCTGGGCAACTCCATGCCAACCCTGAGATGGCATCCAGCAGCAGAGGCAGGGAGGTGGCCATGCATCAGGGAGGCTGGTATGTAGCAACAATCCCAACTGGGGAGCCCAGAGTCAGAAATGGGGAGTCACAACCAGAAACCTGGGGAGCAAAGGCCCCGGAGTGCCAAAAGAGGTTCTCAGATGACCCCTGCACCCCACTTCCCCTGCCCTGGGCTCCTGGCTGCTGCCAAACCCTGAACCCATCTGGCCACATCGCTGAGAGAGGGACACCCCCCGCCCTTTCCACAGTCAGCAAGATCTCAGCTCTGCCACCAGAGGAGTCGCTAACCACTGGGGATGATGGCCTCACTGGTGCTTTCCCCATTTCCCCTCAAAGAATGGAGGGCTCGTTCCTCCAAAAGGGGGCCGAGGCTCCACCATGCAGCCTCTGGGCTGCCTCCCCTGCCTGAATCCAACAGGGAGAGTTTCCTCTTCTCCTTTGAAGAATCAACCAGTGCAAGGAAAGTGGATTTTGTGACACCCAGCCGGCTTTCCTGCCTAAGTAGAACTCAGAGTCTCACCTGGTGTCCTCACCACTAAGCCAAAATGGGTGCAATTATTCTTATTATTGCACCGGAAGAAGAATCAGAGGGAACTCAGGGAGGATGAATGGGGGGGGGGGCTTTAGAAAATGGGACCCTCTCCCTCTTTTCATCCCCTCATCCCCCCCAAAGTCTTGCAAAGGGTCAGAATGTCTCATGCAGCAGCTGCTCCCTCCGACTTACCCTGTTCTGAACTGCTGGATCCTTTGTCACTTGCTGGAAAAGAAGGAAAGAAAAAGAGGATGAGGGAGGATGTCCGTCTGTCTTTCTGTGTCTCTTGGCTTATAGACGGAGAAGCTCAGCTCTTTCTGACTCCAGCTCCCTCCCTCCCTCCCTCACTCCCTCCCTTTCTCTCTCGCACACAATCAAAAACCCACAAACACACGGAGAGAGTTTGAACCAAACTGCTTTGGCTAAAAGGCATCAGAAAAAAATCTTAAAATTTGTATTTATATCACACAAGGCCAGAAGGCTAAAAAGATACAGATGGATCCAAAGTTCCTTTTCGTAACCAGTTCTTACTTAGAGAGGCTTTGTGAAGTGGAGACCAAGAGGAGATCCAGCTAGCATCTCCCAAAGCTCCTTTTCCCTCAAAATGCCCCCTTTTCATCCCTAATTTTATGGAGCTTCTGACTCTCATTTGGCCAAGCCTTTCCTCTCGGCCTACTTGGGGAACAGAGCATGTCCTCAGTCAGAGGGACCTTCCACCACCTGTGTCTTCTCCTCTTCCTGAAAGTTCCTTCTCCCAGATGTTTCTCCTAGAGGATTCCACTTTCAAGAACAGCCTGGCTGTAATGAAAAGGGGGCTCATCTTCCCCAGCCTGGTTTTTAGCATGAAGAGGAAGACACATACATACACACACCCCTCTCAAGTAATTGTGTCCCTGGTCCCTGCTCTATGTTGGAGATTAAATGGAAAGAGGACAAATCACTCACTTGGTGCTGCTTTGTAGTCATCTTGATGTTTTTCTGCAAGAATAAAAACCAGTTAAAGCTGAAAATAATTCACCAGAGATCATCCAAACTCTCCCTCTGTAGGAGGAAGAACTCCAGATGCTTCACTGTCACTTAGTC